TTTTTTGGTGGTCGGAATGGCTGGCATTTTCTTTGGGTTAGACTTAATACCATTCTCTGTGACCATAAGTCATAAGTGTTCTATTTCTTTGTGTAGGAACTCTGACCTCTGTCTGGTTGCATCTTTAAGTTGGCCTGTTCTAGTCTACGAAACACGAAATTTAAGTCGGCAATATGTTCTTGTAGGGAAGGTGAAAAAATTATAATATCGTCCAAGTACACTAAACAGCAATCTCCGTTAAGATCAGCCAAAACGTTATCCATCACTCTTTGGAAAGTCGCTGGAGCGTTTGTAAGACCGAAAGGCATACGAATAAATTCATAATGCCCTCTTTGTGCCGTGAAGGATGTCCTTGGAGTGTCTCTAGGTTCCATTTCAATTTGATGGTAGCCACTAGCCAGATCTTTGGCTGTGAAATACTTAGCTCTGCCGATTCTGTTAAGAACATCATTGATGTTAGGCATGGGATATCTGTCTTTTACTGTTTTATCGTTAAGTTTTCTGTAATCCACAACCATTCTCCATTTTTTTTATTTTAGACGCATCTAGTTTCTTTGAAACCAAGAAACTGGAGCGCTCCAAGGCGAATGGACATGTTTGATTATATTTTGGTCTAAGAGTTTGTTTATTTGATTTTGAATTTCGGATGATTCTGTGGGGCTGCATCTAAACGGTCTACAGAATGCAGGCTTGTCTTCTGTAGTCTTTATTTCGTGTTTCACTTGATTTTCAAAAGAAAGTTGGTCGCCTTCACGATATACTAGACCAGGAAACTTATTGGAAAGTTTTTATTTTAAATTTAAATTTAAATTTTTTGTTCTAATGGTCCCAAAGCCTGAAGTACAATGTTCGTTTTAGTTTTTGACGTTATTTGGTATAACATTAGTAAATGGCGAAATCATCCTTTTTGAATCTGTTTACCTCTAGTTTTGAATCCAAATATAACTTTTTAGGTGTGGTCGAAAAATTATTAAGTTCGATCAGACCGAAATTATTACATGCCGTATACATCCCTGCTGTTATAAAAAATCCTGTTCTAATTGAATGTGGTCACACAAAAATGGCCCTTCCTTAACGCTTACAGGAATTTTGATCAACGACTTCGTCTCCTCTTCGATCTCATAAATCTCTGAGGAACGATTTGGTTCAATAAGCAAAGGAATTTCCACCGTCGGTGTATGATTACTGCCGGAAGTTGGGTCAGAATGTTCATGCCAATGAATCAGTCGAAAAATTGGTTAAAGTTAAATAGTAGAAAAGGGAGCTTTCTTTGATCATTTATTTCTTCAAAGATGGGTAATATAGTCATCTGTCGGATTGGGTGTTCTTGTAACACGGTTGTAATGGAAATTGGTTTTTCGAGTCTAATCTTTTCGTTGTCTGTTACAAATTTGGGATTTATGAAAGAGCCCTCTACTAGGAATTTTAAGTTATGTTTGTCTTGAAATGAAAGTTTTATATATGGTAAATGGGCGTCCAAACGAGATTTGCTCAAGAATCCTGTTTGCGTTTCGAGGCTTTTGATAGAAAATGTTCTTCTTCATCAATATTTTTTGTTTCTATATTAAACATTTTTAGTCGGTTAGACTGAAATCTGTTATTACTAGAGTTTCTTTTAGCTGCGGCATATGATGTACTGGCTATGTCATCGTTTGCCGTAATAGCCGGGAATCGTTGGTTACGATTATTATTACCGTAGTTTGATCGGTTATAGGTAGGTTTGTTGATTCGGTTGTAACGGTTATAGTCCCTGTTTGGATTTTGGTTATAGTACTTGTTCTGATATTAATTATTGTCCCTACTTTGGTATTGGTACTGATTGATTACTGACCGGAAACGATCGATTTGCCTAATCAATTGCCTGCTCTGTGACCAATTTGTAGCATTCTCCGCAAAGTACAGGCTCCTTTCTTGTATTGCCATATTGTACGCTTCCTTAAGCCCTGCAGGCTTAAAGGCTCTGACTATGCCGCTCAGATTTTATCTAAGTCCCACGAGGAATGTCGCCAAACAAGTCTGAGACACAACTCTCTGCCTAACTAGCAACAACACATAAAATCAAAAGGAAATTCCCCTAATACCCTAGCCGAGTCTCAAATTCACCTCGTTAGATGTTCTCTCCCATACGTCCGAACGACCCCATCAAATACGAGCTACCCTATCGCGGAGTCATCCTACCTGCGGCTACAGACTGCGAATTTAGCACATTACAAAGGTTTTATTATCAGCTAAAAAAAGTAAATAAAGCGATCTTAGATCAAACAAGGAAGAACGCTATAGTCGAGTACCTCGACTATCAGATACCCGTTACTCAAAGGGAAATGGAGATATGCAAGCAGCAAAGCGAAACTAAAATGCGCCACCTACCGGCCGTAGACAGATTTAAGCGTTATGGGCGTTAGAGTGGGCGTGGCAAAATTATTTTGGATCAATCGATAGGTATTGACGACACCAATACATTTCAGTTAAAATTTTTTATCTAGCATGCAAATTGTGGGCGTCACAGGTTTTCGCGGTTTGTGGGCGTTTAAGTGGGCGTGGCAAACTTTTTTTTTAGGTCAATCGATAGGTATTGATGAGAACAATACATTTCAGTTAAAATTTTCTATCTAGCATCAAAACTGTAGGAGTTACAGCTTTGGGCGGTTTGTGGGCGTTAGAGTGGGCGTGGCAGTCTACTGAAACAAACTTGCGCTGCGTAAGAAGCTCAGGAATCTGTACGCCAAATCTCAATAGCCTAGCTCTCATAGTTTCCGAGATCTCAGCGTTCATCCGGACAGACAGACGGACAGACGGACAGACGGACATGGCTAGATCGACTCGGCTAGTGATCCTGATCAAGGATATATATACTTTATGGGGTCGGAAACGCTTCCTTCTGCCTGTTACATTCTTTCCGACGAATCTAGTATACCCTTTTACTCTACGAGTAACGGGTATAAACATCTAGGATTATATAATGATAAGATTCATTAGATAGGCATAGTTTTAAATGAAATTATGATTATGTGGCGGAAATTCAATTTAAATTTAATTTACGACTTTATTTGACTAATAATGCAAGGGGTAAGAAATAAATAATCAAAAATAAAACTCTCAATAAAAATTGCAAGGAGAGAACTTGACATCACGATTTTTCTGATTGCAGGCCAATTTGGTGCGGTGTGACTTAGCTTTTTTTCCTCTTTTCTTTACACCGCCTTGAGTTTTCTCCTGATCTTTCAAATGTAAAAATTAAGGCACTCACCGCTTGCAGGAACATCCATCGATAAAAGCACTTTTGCCGAGACGTTTGTTGCTAGCTGCGGGATAATGTATAGATAATAATAAACTCAAAACGATTTAAGATTCCACGACCGGAATGTACCGCTTAAAAAAACCCCGGATGACGGCTCTGCCTCCTTGCACGACTTTAAATTGCTTCGCCATCAATCGATAAAACGAACTTTTTGATCTTAAACATTTCACTTAAACTAACGTATTACATAGTGATTTTTTTCTTTTGCATGTCTTTAACAATTTTTCCTTCTTTCTGGAGGTTATGCCCGAATGTCACAAAACTGACGGAGAGCTTAACTTTTTCGCTTTCCCCTTATGAATTTTATCTCAATTTTCCGGCATTTTTACGCCAAATTCACGGCTCTACGAAGAAAATCTCCGCCGCATTCCGCGACGGACCACCTTCTTGCAGCGCGATCGAACAACTGTCCTTGGCTCTCGCTCAAACGAAGAACGATCCCCAAGCAAAAGCTTTTGATTTGTAACTTAGCAAACGAAAATGGTTATGTGTGTCGGGTCTTCTTCCATCGCCCCAAAGGCAATGCTGTTGGCGGGCCCTGAACTGGGCCTCTTTTCCGCTTCTCGACATAGTTTTTCGAGCAGCTTGTCCGGCTCCACATATAATAGGGGATGCCCTTCACAGATCTCACTCGAATACACGGCGGCCACGCAGGAACCTTTTGAGGACGGCTGGTAGCTGCCGAATAAGCTCAACGTTACTCACCAGACCTCAAACATTGCGATCTCAGCTAGAACTCACCCTAATCCGTAGTTAATTTCCTAAATATATCTCCTTTTTTCCGGTGGCCCAGCAAGATGAACAGGCTGACCTTAGTCACTCGCGCTAAACTTTGCGGATTAAACACTTGTAGAGAAATTTTTACCTCTGCTCGCCTTGGCTGCCAAAATGGAAAAGACCGACTCTGATGTCAAAATTCAGGCGGTACCCCAAACCCCGGGGTATGAGGTGAAAAACTAGACCCGAGAAAGCCTGACATTTGGCCCTCTCACTTATTCAGAAACCGGCTACAGAACATTTCTTCGCACGAATGCTAGATGGCGCCACCCCTGTGTCTCTACGAACCACAGATGGAGCCACTTCTGCTAAAGCAAGCGCTACACCTGTTCGCCTTTCCTTTTATCTTCTATCTGATTGCTTTAAGTAACATCTGGCCATACGGGGTTTGATCCGTGCCCCTGATCATCAAAATTATTTGAGGAATTATTACTAGAGGAATTATTACTAGTATCCATGGTCAAGGGTGAGGGTGTAATAATTGGTCCTAGGGATAAAGAATTTTCCTGAGGTGTTTCTTCGCTAGGGGTCTGTTTCTTACTACCGCCTCTAGTAGTAACTTTGTTAGATGGTAATAGACTTATGACTTTGGAAATGTTAGGCATCAAGTTACTTTATTATTATTTCTGGAGAAACAAATCTGCTTTTAGCTTTATGTGCTATAATTTGCAATACATTTTGTAGTTGACGTTTTTACAAAACACGCAATGGGATTATAGAACTGTTTTTTTTTAACAACCACTACAAATATTATATTTTATTTAGTAACAAAAAATTATTTAGATTATGATCTGCCGAACGGAATCGAGCATTGCAACGTATTTATAAATTTTTAACTGCACAACTTTATTATTCTCACTTTAAAAATTTTTCACATATATATTTCTTGTTTTTTTTTTTTAATTTTCTTTTCATCTCTATTTTATTTTTTTTTTCCATTAGTATAAATTTGTTCTTTCACTGTACGGGTATGATTTGTTTCTTTTAACTTTCTTTCGCTTGCTATCCCATGTCGTATTTGGCATTATATTCTCGTTGTATACCTTGGCATTTTTGTTTAGAGAAGAAGAATACTTCACCTAAGTCTGTGTGTGTGTGTGTTTCTTACAGTTAAAGTGTCTGCTCCGGTTGGTAGTGGTCCAAGGGGGTTCCAGTTTTCCGTCAGTAAGTCCTCAGAATTGATATTTTGAATCTCAAGTTTGATATTTGTTAGAATAAAATACGATTTAAATAGAGTAAGAACGTCTTCTACGTTTGAAGTGAATTTCTAGACTCCCCTCATATATGGTTCAGCGGTGGCCGAAAAGCAGCCGCTACTATACATAAGGGCTTATACACTAACACAAGATGAAATAAAGAATGATTATCTAGCAATCCGTTCGAAGTGCCTGCTCGTGTCACATTTCCTGGGCGAGGTGTCGGGGCATCCTGTTGCTATGTCAGCAAAACTCGAGGTGGTCGGTGCCGGGTATAAGCAATGATTCAGGTTGCAAGGTACATAACTACATCCAGATGTGTGGGTCAAAGTGCCTACCCAGTCAGCGTACCATTTCTAGGGTAGCTCTGGAAGGTTTGGCCGGAGGCTCGTTGACTGCCGACTGGTCGGTAACTTGCGCCTTGATAAAGAAGCCAAATTCAAAGTTACATGTGCAATACCTGTCAGTTTCATGTTTGCCATGACTTGTGAAAACTTTTGCAACCTACCTGGGAAAATAGTTATTTTGATTGGCTTTCAAAGTAAGCAATCCACTAACAGCCGAAGACTAATACTCCAGTGAAATCTATAAAATCAATCATCTAGGGATAAAATAAAGTTATGAAATAAAAAAATATAAATAAAAATTGGTCATAATTCAAGGACACAATATAAATAACAAGGAAGAACGCTATAGTCGAGTACCTCGGCTATCAGATACCCGTTACTCAGCTATATGGAGATATGCCAGCAGAAAAGCGATATTAAAATGCGCCACCTACCGGCGGTATACAGATTTAAGCGTTATGGGCGTTAGAGTGGGCGTGGCAAATTTTTTTTTAGATCAATCGATAGGTATCGACGAGACCAATACATTTCAGTTCAAATTTTTTATCTAGCATGAAAATTGTGGGCGTCACAGGTTTTCGCGGTTTGTGGGCGTTAAAGTGGGCGTGGCAAACTTTTTTTTGGGTCAATCGATAGGTATTGATGAGAACAATACATTTCAGTTAAAATTTTTATTCTAGCATCAAAACTGTAGGAGCCACAGTTTTGGGCGGTTTGTGGGCGTTAGAGTGGGCGTGGCACTGTGCTGAAACAAACTTGCGCTGCGTAAGAAGCTCAGGAATCTGTACGCCAAATCTCAATAGCCTAGCTCTCATAGTTTCCGAGATCTCAGCGTTCATCCGGACAGACAGACGGACAGACGGACATGGCTAGATCGACTCGGCTAGTGATCCTGATCAAGAATATATATACTTTATGGGGTCGGAAACGCTTCCTTCTGCCTGTTACATACTTTCCGACGAATCTAGTATACCCTTTTACTCTACGAGTAACGGGTATAAAAATGGGTCATAGTTCCAGGACACTGCTTTTAAAAATTTCCCCAAATATGTGCGTTTTTGTGCATAACCAATTTAGCTGTTATACGTTTTGTTTTGTAACTATACCACAAATATGACGCAGTCTTCGGCATGAATTCCTTGAATCTCCGATTCTCGAAAAATCATTACTTTATACATTATCATCATTGCACTGGTAGAAAAAACATCGTAAATGTCACTATTTCTCCAACGTTTCAACTATTTTTCCCAGCGGTTTAGAACCTAACATGAAAATCGTAAAAACGAAAACGTTAAATAGTTAATTATTTTTTGAATAATCTCGTAGTAAGTTCAACGATTTTTTATTTTCGATCAAATATGTTAAAATAGTACAAAATAATTAAATTAAATATGTTCCATAGTAAAAAGTATTATATTTTTATATTTCTTTTAAATATTTTCATATTTAGTTTCAGTAAATAGAATATTTCATTTGAATGGTTTTTATAGTTAAAATAATTATAGCATGCCCTCAAACTCAGCATATTTTTATTTGGATTAAATAATTCTCATGTTTAAATCAGACTGAGATGAACTTTAATATAAATACAAATTGTATTTAAATTAAATATAATCCCCGTTAAAAGAACTGTACTTTATTTTTGATTTAAATATAGTATTTAAGCCATATTATTATGGTGCATATTCAATTTAAACCGATCCGTAGTTTAAAACAAGCGTGATTTATATTTAAAAAAGCCACAAATACGTATGCAATGTGTTTTTATTGAAAATAAACTTAAACATATCATCCAAACAATTGTTCTGCTTACATTCTTTTTTTTACCATGCTAACACGTTATCATTATTTTTGTTTTAAATACATTTGTACTTAACGTAACTCTTAAAATTTATATAATACATATGCATAGGGCAGCTAGTAAAGTTTGCAACAATTGTACGCCTGCATGTGCGTTCAAAACTTTCCTGCGAGTCCAGTAGTGAGAAATTCTTTCGCTTGTTGGTTCCCTTAATGACGGCCGACAGTACAGACAATACAGAGTAAATGTAGTCCTTGGAATCTGTGAATAAGAATATGTTATTAGATTTTTGGTAATGGCATAATTTATAAAAAGTCAAGCTTATTATAGGAAGATAAAATTTAACCTGCAAAAAGTTAAGTTTAAATTTATAAAAATTATATATTACCGATTGATACAGTTTTTTGAGCTGTCTTTAATAGTTTATGACACTCTTTGTTTTGTATTTGCTCTTCATAAAACCAAAAAACCGTTTTCTTGCTTATTTCTCAGGGTACAACATGTTGAAATCAATTTGTATCTATAAAGAAAAAGTTAAGTAGTTTTATATTAAGTTTCGAGTAGGTTGTTTTATATATAATCATTTAAATAAGACCAAAATATTTTTTTAATTTAATTTGTTTTTTATTTTTTTAAAAAATTTAAAATTAGATAAGTGTAATATCGGCCAATTCCTGAAACACGTGTTACCGTAGTATTCGTAAAAAAACTTTTATAAAAATCGAAAATGCGAAAAATTATTTTTTGCGAATTCCGAATATAAACCGAATTCGCTCTTAAAAGAATGTTGGATCAGTAAGTTAACTCAAAAAAGAGAAAAATCACGTGAAAGAACAATAAAATATAATAAAGATGTACATAGGTGAAACGACTGCGAAGCCACCGAGCAATATGCAACGGCAGCAAAGCGTCTTCTTAGCGCCTTTTTCCTTCTCGTGCATTCTACTCCTTTTATCTAGTTTGCGCGGGTTTTCACTTAATTTCCTTTCATATTCTTCATTTCTTTCGCGTATTTTTTATCCACTTCATGTTTATTACACAACCGTATGTCTTTTTTTGTTTTAAATGTAATGCTCTTTTAAGCTTTAATTTCTTTAAATGTATTATCTAAATTATCACGACATATGTAATAACGCGCACAACAAAGAAGAAACTCAAAAAGGAAAAATGCGACAAAAAAAACGTGGACATGCACATGCCTTAATATTAAGTAATTATTATATTTTTATTTGACTCACCTTTTTGCTGTACTTTTCACTTTTTTACTTCACTTAAATGAACACTTGTCTCTAAAACTCTCAAACTCTCTCTCTTTAAAAACTCAAACTCTATTAATCACTTTTACATCCGATCAGGAGAACCGCTTGCTTCGAAGTGATCGCGGGATTCGGTACAAAACGGAGTGTCAAACTAATTCGTATATACATACATACATATGCATGTGTGCAAAAAGGACGGACTAATTCTGTCGCGTGGCGTTACTTTACAATAGAGGTCAAAGTAATGGGGAAGAAAATAAGAAAATATGTACAAATAAGTCCTTAAGTTTAATAACTTGTATATATCAATTTAGTAATATTTATTTTATTTTATTATTTTTTTATTATAAGAACATATCTTATTGTCAAAACATCGGTACACAAGAAATATTTATGTTCTTATGCACATACATATTTTCTTGACCGCCAATGTACAAATGCGAATAGAAGAAGAAGACGCGCTTGCGTTTGCCGTTTTGCTTGTTCATATTTGTCTCTAATTTGTCTGAATGTATGTATGTAAGTATGCACATTGTGCCGTTGGTTTTAGTTTTTGGTTACGGCCCAGCGTTTACAATGCACGCACATTTTTTCTTTGGCTAAGCATGTTTTTGTACTTTTAATAGTAAATTACAAAGCCAAATCTTATGATAATTGTCATGGAAATAGAAAGAGGCTGCCGGTGGTTGGCCATCCGTAACTAAAACCCTTTTCTTTAAATATTAAAGCTGTTTTTCTTTTGCAAATTTCTAATAATTTAAATTATGTTGTGTATATGGGTCACAAACTTAATACATATACATACATACATATGTAATTTGATTTCTAATTTACAATTATTTGGTCGAATACAAATTTTGAAAACGTTCTATATTCAAAATAAATGAGTAAATATTCCAAACAAATTGAAAAAGTATTTACTCGAAATATAAAAAACCATCAAATATACTATGAATTTAACTACTTTTTATAATAGTTAAAATCAAGATGGCAACATTGGGTTTAAATGTGACTAACTTGATTTTAAATAAAAATCACTTTGATTTGAATGTCTACATATTTGACATAAGGCTTAAATATGTTTTTTATTTAAATGAAAGGTTTTTATATTTAGTATGACTATGCAGGGAAGTAAAAAAAATCAAATAAAAATATATTTGATTTCACTACGCGTTTTTTCTACCAGTGTAAGAAAACTGAATTTTATCATTCATAAAATGAAAAATTTACCCGTAGTATATGGTATAGTATTTGACGTACACACTTTTAGTTCGTAAATAAACTTTTTTCTGGAACAATTTAACTTATTTTATTCAAACCAAAAACTTCTGATCCTCAGATAAAACGCCTCTTAACCAGGTAACAACTAGTAAAGATTGAACCTCATACATACAACCAAATACATTTTTATACCCTTGCAGAGGGTATATTGATTTCAGTCAGAAGTTTGCAACGCAGTGAAGGAGACGTTTCCGACCCCATAAAGTATATATATTCTTGATCAGCATGACTAGACGAGTCGATCTAGCCATGTCCGGCTGTCCGTCCGTTTCTACGCAAACTAGTCTCTCAGTTTTAAAGCTATCGGGCTGAAACTTTCCCAAAAGTCTTATATCTTTTGCACGTAGTATATAAGTCGGAACCAGCCGGATCGGACAACTATATCTTATAGCTCCCATAGGAATAATCGGACAAAAAAATTAAAAAAAATTATATCTTTGGTGTTTTTTAGCATACAACCTCCTAAGCTTGGAAATAACATTTTTTAGTTAGTTTTGAATTTTTAATTAAATTTTATCGAAATCGGACATAGCTGATATAGCTGCCATAGGAACGATAGGAAAATTGGTGGAAAAATAATATGAAACAAATTATAGCTTCGGTGTTTTTCAACATATAACCTCCAACGCTTGGAAATAACATTTTTTAATTAGTTCTGAATTTCGAATTTAATTTTATCAAAATCGGACGACTATACCATACAGCCGCCATAGGAACGATCGGAAAATTGGTGGGAAAAGAATATGAAACAAATTATAGCTTCGGTGTTTTTTAACATATAACCTCCTACGCTTGAAAATAACATTTTTTAATTAGTTCTGAATTTAGAATTTTATTTTATCAAAATCGGACGACTATATCATATAGCTGCCATAGGAACGATCGGAAAATTGGTAGGAAAATAATATGAAACAAAATATAGCTTCGGTGTTTTTTAACATATAACCTCCTACGCTTGGAAATAACATTTTTTAATTAGTTCTGAACTTAGAATTTTTTTTATCAAAATCGGACGACTATATCATATAGCTGCCATAGGAACGATCGGAAAATTGGTAGGAAAATAATATGAAACAAATTATAGCTTCGGTGTTTTTGACATATTATCTTTTACTATTGGGAACATCATTTTTTGTGTTTTTAAATTTAATAATTATAGCTGCAAGGGTATATAAAATTCGGCTTGCCGAAGCTAACTTTCTTTCTTGTTTTTAATGCCCTAGTGGACCAATGTACTTTAGTAAAAGTAGTAAAGTCTCGCTAAATGTTTGCAAACGGACTCAGACAAGAGCGTTAGTGAACCAAAACCGAGCGACTATTTTTCACCCTTATTTCCAGTATTCATTCACTTTCGAGCTCATTTGCCATAATTATACGATTCTTTACGGTTTTTGTATCATTTCCTTCATTGTTGCCATGGTTCCCTGACTGATGCGCCGTTCGTTGGCACACTGAATCTTTTGTTTCTTTCGTTTCTTTTGTTACAAACTGCTTATTTTTTGGTGGCAGTGCCGCTAGCTCAGTCTTATCCCAGGGCAGAGTACCCCTAATGCCATCTCCGCTGTCTCACATCACTAAACTATCGCTCATCACTAAGAACAAAAAAATGTTATCAAAAAAGTAAATACCTACAAATATTGACGGAAAAATGGGTTAAATTTGGTGGCTATCGATGACTTAGCCAAGCGCTCCCACCCAACCATGGATGCCCGTAAGATACTGCGAGGCACCACCCATTCTCGGTCGACTACGACGGTTCCATCTTCACTACTGGGAAAACTTTCTCACACATTGCTGGTTTTACAAATGCTTAATAAATATGGTAAGTGCAATCATTTATATTCATGCTCCTCTTAAACGATCTATCCTTCCTCAGCCTTTAAGACCGAATTCTTGGCCGTCTTCCATATTTGGTCTTTATCAGTCGTTCCTTCTTTGCGTTCGGACGTGCTTAAAATTCTCGCTGTGTTACTTCCCCGCTGTCCCAGGTGCAATGTTACATTGGCCCAGATTCGCGTCTCGGGTGCTGTCCGCTGTTCTTCTTTGTGCCGTCGCGCCTATCATACTTCTTGCGTCACTTTAGACGATGTGTTCAAATCCAAACATTATGTGGCAATTTGACAGCTGTGTGGTTGCGAAAGATTCGCATTCTAAAATTCATGAACTTGATGATAAATTAAAAGCCCTGGAGCGCTTATATCAGGGCCTTTATAATAAAAATAAAGATGATGCATTGACTCAAAATTTAAATGTAAATCTCAAACCTCATTGAGAGAGGAAATTTCATACAAGTTCGAAATAAGAAGAGAAGAAACAACAACAAGCAGAATAAACATGTTGTTGGAGTGGCTCCTAGTGCCGAAGATCTTCATGTTTTGCCCATCAAGAAATTCTTGCATGTCGGAAAGTTTGCAACAGATACTAAGCCGAACGCTGTTTTAAAATATGTGTCCACCATGCTTAAGGTGGATGCTAATTCTTTCACTTGTGTAAAACTTGTAAAAAAAATTGTTGACGTTACAACTTTAAAGTTTGCAAAATTTCAAGCTTGGTATCCCCGATCAGCTTTACGATTCAGTCTTCAAAAACGATTACTGGCCGGACTCAGTTAAGGTCAAAAGACTTAATCATAGAGAACGGGCCCTTGTGGTAGTGGATGGAATCATATCCCATTTGCCGGAGCCTTCAACATTAAGTCATACATCAAAATACCCCTACTGTTCGAAGCCAATGGCGTCGATACTTTTTCGGGACATCTTCTGCAAGCCTTTCCTCATTTGTCGGAGGCGTTTTCGCAACAACATCGGCAGCTGCCTGCCTTTCTGACTGCGCTCTCATCATCTTTTATCTCTCTCCTGACGCTCCATTAACAACATCGGTCGGAGCTTTTATTGTCCGCTTTGTGCGACATTCGCCTGGCTCTAATATCGGCGCGCTTCTCGGAGTTGCGCTTACATCATTTTCCGTCGCTCTCCTGACGCTCCATTAACAACATCAGCCGGAGCTTTTAGTGTCCGCTTTGTGCGACATTCGCCTGGCTCTAATATCGGCGCGCTTCTCGGAGTTGCGCTTACATCATTTTCCGTCTCTCTCCTGACGCTCCATCAACAACATCAGCCGTAGCTTTTGTTGTCCGCTTTGTGCGACATTCGCCTGGCTCTAATATCGACGCGCTCCTCGGAGTTGCGCTTACATCATTTTCCGTCGCTCTCCTGACGCTCCATCAACAAATTCAGCCGGAGCTTTTGTTGTCCGCTTTGCGCGACATTCGCCGTCCTCCTGGCCCTAATATTGGCGCGCTCCTCGGAGTTGTGCTTACATCATTTTCCGTCGCTCTCCCGAAGTACCTAGAACATCTGCTGTATTCTTACTCATCATCGCCTAATATATATGCGCTCTCCCTCTCTACCGTTTCGACGTTCGACTTTCTACAACAACTTTTATCGACACATTTGGCTGGATGGCGAGCCTCTCAGAGTGCTCTCCGGAGATGCTCTCGCCATCAACAACAACAATGGACTGCGGCAGCTGTAGAACCTTCTCTCACATTATTATCAGGAGTGGATACACCTGCGTGCAGTTATATTTTGAATGCTAATATTGACTGCGCACCAAGTACTTGGAGCGACGATCACCAGCAAATTCGAATTCGTACTACTACTTTACTGTGGGTTCTTACAAATTATTTTAGTAATTATGATAGAATCCCAGCGATTCCCCTTACGCTTTCGGGTCAGACTGTGGGCTACTCGACCCAAGTATTTTAAGTGCTTCTGAAAATTTGGAGCGAGTATTAGCAGGTCGTCCAAGTATACGAAGACGTTGGATCTAAGCTCCGCTGGTATCACCCGATCCATGAGCCGCACCAAGCGTTGGGCCGCGTTTCAAAGCCCGAATGGCATCATTTGAAACTGGTACAACGGCCTGCTTGGAACCGTGAACGCAGTGTACTCCTTGCTTCTGTCGTCCAGTTCAATCTGCCAAAACGCAAACTTGAGGTCAACTCCAGAGATATAATGCGTCTGAGAGAGATTCCTTTCAATACTGGGCAGAGGGTAGCATCCTTAATGGTCAATGCGTTTAACTTCCGGGCATCCAGCCAGAACCTGTCTTTCTCTAGCTTCGACACTACTGTTGTGCGATTGCTCCACGGGCTTTTGGTCTAGGTAGGGGCAGAGGTAGAACGTGTCCGGCTTACTTACGCCTTTGTACTTCACAGGCAGCTCCAAGCGCCCGATAACGGATCGATCCTCGCCAGAAGCCGTCCGGACTACGGAAAAATGCGGTTGGACGGTAACTCCCAGCGTTTCCACGAGCTCTCGACAGCCTTTGCCCAGTACACTTACGCTGGCCCCTGTGTCCAACAAGCCGGTGCGGTGCTTGCCCAAGGTCTTCACGTCGGCGAAGGAATCGGCGGAATCTATGCGTTTCACGGCCGCCACCACCTCTCATCGACTGGATCTCCTTATCCTGAAGCGCTCCTTTGCTTTCTGGACTCTCCGTGAGACTAGACGCATGCCGTTCAGCTGATGTTCCGGAAAGATCCTGTTCCGTGCCTCCATATAACGGCGAATCCTTTCATCCTCCGGTAGGTATCCATGAGTTTTCACTTATGAATTCGTTTGCAGTGACACTTCCCAAGTGAAATCACTTGTAAAATTAAGAATTTTTCCAATGAGTTTTCACTTATGAATTCATTTGCAAGTGACACTTCCCAAGTGAACTCACTTGTGAAAATCAGAATTTTTCCAATGAGTTTTCAGTTATGAAAATATAGAATTTAAAATACATACATATTTAATTTCATTTTAGTTCTTTTTATTTATGTGGTATTATTTAAATTTTCACAAATTTGACTATTATTATTTCTGTTTTTTTGTTTTGTGAGCTTATTTTTTACAATTGTCATAGCTTTTCGTAAACATTTGTCCGGGTCTTCGGAGTCCTTGGCCAACGCTCGATCGGAGGGACTTCTTCCCGTTGGACCCGTCCAAATTGCAGTTATTTATCATGTCTTCTCCTTGTCTGAAGCGAAGGATACCTTTAAAATGGCGGTGGTTTCCGCCAGTTTGTCCGCCAAAATGTCGAGCTTCTGCGTTACTACAGAGATCTTCCTGCGGATTTGGAGAACCTCTTCTGAAATTTAAATTTATTTATATTACAAAAAATAAATAAAACATCAAAATAGACTGAAAGTAGTAATCGCAATGATTTTTAGAAATTTGTCGTCAATGGCGATTTATTTTATAAATTTAGAGTACGAAACATTTTTAAGCCAAACGAATACTATTTTTAGTGTAAGTGACAGTATTAATATTAAATAGTATTCGTATTTATCGTACTTTAAATTTATAAAATAAATCGCCATTGACGACAAATTTCTAAAAATCAGGGCGATTACTATTTTCAGTGTAGGGTTATAAAACATACTTTTTAACTCTGCCATTTGACGTTCAGTGGAATCTTTAAAAAAAATAAGAAAAATTACAAAATTACAGAGTAATACAAATTTTTTAACTCACTAAAGACCGATGGGGTTTCTGTAAAAAAATATTGTATTAATGCAATCACTATGGATATGGATATGGAAACAAGTAAATCAATTTCTTGTGTTTATATTTACCTTCCAAATCAAACTGGACTCGACGCACTTTAGATTCTGGCAGACATACTAATTTAAAAATGTTTGAAAAAACAAAAAAATAATTAAGTCAAATATAAGTAAAAAATTATAAATTAATCAAATGATAAAAAATAAACAAACATAAATGAAAATAATAATAAACAAAAAATAAACAACAATTGTTAATAACGAAAATATTCGTAAATAGGTACATGAAATGAAATTATAAAAAATAAACAAAAATAAGGGAAAATAATAAGAAAAAAATTAAATAAACAATAATTGTTAGTATAGAAAATTAAAAGACTAATAAATAAAATAATTCAAGTGCTTTCTTTTTTTTTGGTACCCAAACCAAGATAGGTGAATCTTCGAAAGATATTTAAAACGCCGTCGCAATAAATATGCCCGATACATAATAAAATAACGCCTATAGACTAAACACCTCCTTTACAAAAAAAAACTAAAAATTCAATTAAAAAAAAAATGCAACCATGGAACTACTACTATTTTTTCTAAATAAGGAATGGCTACCGCTTTTCTCTTAAATTCCATTATTGAACATTTTTTTATACTAGAAGGCACTTCTGAATTAACTAAATATATACCTAGGCCAGAAGAATTCATTGCCTCAATAAAAAAAACTGTCCCTATCTTGCAATTCCCTTCCATTAATAAAATTTGAATTGGAACCTCATCTCCTACAAAACAAAAATTGTCTGGTTGCCTATCACTAAGTGTGCAGTCGTTCATTTTAAGATTTCTGCCTACCAATTTTATTTGTTCTTCTGCTGGGGCTACGTATTTTTCTTCGACTATCTTCCTAAATATTTGTTCTAAGATATAAGATTTTTTTCTAACACATTTTCTAAGGAGCTGCAAGTAATTCTCAAAGGAGTAAAAAGATCCTGAAACCGGATTTCCGATTTGATTTATAGTATCTCTTACATGGAGTAAGCCTTGGACATTGTAAGTCACACTGTTTGCTCCAAATACAATGGGGAAATTTTCAACAAATAAATTTAATATTTGTTGAGCATTTTCAATATTATTTCCCCGTTGTTTTTGCGAACAGAGCAATCTAAATTTGCAGTGCAGTAATAAAAATAAATAATACTGGTCATCAAATATTGAATCTTTAAGAGCTACAAAACCAGTGTATAATAAGAACTGCCTAAACTCAGTGCTTTTCCAGTTAGGAAGCTCTAACAATGTCCTCGGCTTCCTTGCAACATTAACAACGCATTAACATTAATTTAGCGGAAATACTGTTCTTGGTTTGTTTTGAAACTTTATTTATAACTTTGTTATAATAAATTCGTTCTAAAAATTTGCGCATTACCCCCAACTCAATAAGATGCATACAATCTAAAGGAACTTAGGTTATCATACGAACACCAAGCGTTTCAAAAGCCGACGGACTACTCAAATAATCTTTGCTGTGATGGTGTGGATAAATTCTATTCGCAGTCTTCATCAGTAATTAACTCACAGCAACAGTACTGTATGTTCTGTATGTTAATGTACCATCTACTTTGCGACCAACCTGAAGACATTTGGTACAGCCGTGACGGGATGTATGTCCAGGGGTTCCTGTGACAAATGCCCTTGCAGGTGCATCACAAGCCACCGCCCTAAGTTCTAAATTTACTTTTTTGTTTGAAATTGTTAGTCCGTTTATAAAAAGATCGGACAATTCACTAGTAAATTTAGACATGTGTTGAACACAATTAGTTGGCTTATTTTTAGATGAAAAAACTCCTACTGGAAAGAAGAGGCATTTATTAATATTATTAACTCGAATCAAAATAGGCCACAATTGTGCACAAGAGCTTTTAGTTAATATATAATAATAATAATATTAACGTCAATGCTTAAAATTTCTGAAAATTCTGCTACCACAGATAATTTAACTAATTGCTTCGATAAGCCATTATGCAAATAGGAACCCCATCTATTTCCGTAATATCTAACGTATTGCTGCATTTAAATTTATAAAAAGTCCTAACATCTAAATTTTCTTCATTTAAAATTTTGATTAGATCTATAGCGCAACTACGAGTTGGCTTGTGCTTTATAAACCTCTGTTTCAACTTAAAATTTAAGTCTCCCTGATCGGACTCAATGTTTTCTATATCTTCCTGATTAACTTCTACATTATCTTGACCTCCTAATAAATTTTCCTCACCTATCTCTAAATTATCCTGACCTACTTCTAAGTTTTCCTGATCAGCTTAAGCTATCGCAGAACAGCGCGTCTGCAACCGTTTAATGATATCTTCTAAGAGCCGCGTCTAGTTTTAATTTCGGATAATAATATTAAAATCGCCTCGCTAAAGATATTATAAAAGGCTCGAAAACGATCCGTTTTCGAAATATCCAAAATAAACCTTTTCCTGCCACAACATGAGCGACCAGTAGTTCGTTTTTTTGTCGTTTTTGGATCCGAATCGATACTCATTGCACGTTTAACTCTCGCGAAACTTTCGTTTGCGATATCGCTAACGAATTTTTAGTCCATTGGGCCGGAATAGCTGAGAATCTTAAATACTTTAAAACATAACAGTCCGCGGGGAAAGGTATGCAAGAGGTAGAAGGAAGCGTCACCGACCCCACAAAGTATATTTCCGTCTGTTCGTGTGAACGCTGCGATACGCGAAAATGCCACGCCCCTTCTGACGCCTACAAACAGCCCAAAATTGTGGCTCCTACAGTTTTCAAGCTTAAAAAAAATGTAAATGAAATTTATTGGTCTGTTTGCAACGCCCACTCTAGCACCCACAAGCCGCACAAAACGCTTAAATCTGCCGCCCGCATAATCATATATTTACATCGGGGGTAGGTGTGGGGCTTTACAATCTCGCTTTGCTGTTTGTATAAATCCATCTCCCTTTTGCTCCCTATAGCTGTGTTCGGAGCAGATCGCCAGCGCCTAGTCATGCGCGCATAGGTGTACGACGGCACCTGCAGCGCTCTTTGCTTATCTTTTGTCGCCTTCATTCTTATACCACTAAAGCTGTCGCTTATCTATTCAACTACTTTGTAAGTGTGCATATATCTATATGAAGATCTTGGAGCCAAGCTTTTTCAAAGTCCGTCTGCCGCTCCGAATAAACGCTATACATGTAATATAACCTATTCGTGCGTTATTAATTATAAATATAAGGGTGGCATATTTGTTGTCTTCCCCACAAACAGGCTGAGTAACGGATATCTGATAGTCGAGGCACTCGACTATAGCGATCTTCCTTGTTATACCCGTTACTTGTGGAGTAAAAGGGTATACTAGAAGTATGTAACAGATAGAAGAATATATATATATTGTTGATTAGGATCACAAGCCAAGTCAATATAGCCATGTCCGATTGTCCCCTGTCTGTATGAACGCTGAGAGCTAGAGTGTTGGGACTAGGCATGCAAATTAACTATAAATTTAATGAACTATTCTTATTAATATTGTAAACAAATTATTTTGGCAAAGCTTGCTACTGAGTTCTCACAAGTTCTTATCACATAAGCATTCTCAGACTCCCACCTAATAAACCAACGGCGAGTCAAGCTTGAGACAGATGTAAACAAATTCCCCCAAGATAGCCAGCAACGTCGAGAGTTATGACACCGCGATCCCATATTTATGGCGTCTCCTTTGCTTCCAAATTTGCCATGCCGATCACAGCAATCCTACTCGATTAATAACTTCGGAATCAAGACTTCGGGAAATTACGAGGGCAAGCTTCCAAAAGCTTCGATCTCGAGGCAACAAGGGAAGAGAGCCAACGCAAGCTAGGGCAGTCAGAAAATTAGCATAAGATATCAATGTCAAAAAAGAATTGTGAAAGTAAAGTTTAAGTAAAAGTTATTTTAAAGTTTAAATAAAAGTTTATATTCTTTTATTAAATCGGTATCCGTTTTTGTAATTTGCAGATTCCTGAGCTTCCTGCACAGCGCAAGCTTGTCTCAGCAGGGTGCCACGCCCACTTTAACGCCCACAAACGACTCTAACAATAAAACCCGTCTAGCGCCCACACTTAATAAAATTTTGTAAAAATTTAAATGAGAGTGTTTTCTTGTTATCAATACCTATCAACATGTTAACATGCAAGCCAATCATTAAAAACGTTTAACCAATTAATAATAAATATTTTGCAATTTAATCCACATGCAGCCAACAAGCAGTTTTTACTAATAAGCCATCAAGCCGCTAGGGGCGCTATAGGCTAATTGGCGCTGTAGGCCAAGTGGCGCTATAGAAGAAGAGGATAGGTGGCGATATAGGCTAGATGTGTTAGTGAAAATAGCAGATTTGCTTAAATGATTTATGATTAATCCCTCTCGCACTCCCTTAAGCTGATTAACGGGTATCCAATAGTCGAGACCATCGTCTAAAGGGTTTGCTCATGTTTTGTTGTAAAAAAATTTAAAGAAAAATTCACCACACATTTTCATATAGTTTTTGTACTATTTATTAAAACATTTAATTATTTGACATCCACAATTTTTAATAGTTTTAAAAAAGTTTAACGAGGTTTTGTTTCTGATAGTTTGGATTAAGCATAGAGATCCAGATATTCTTCCGTACCGCAAGTGTATTTCAGCAGGTGTATAACGCCCACAATCCGCCCAAAACTGTGGAGTCAACATTTTTAAAGATTAAAACTTAAAATAAATATTTTTTTCCTCTTGTCAATACCATGGAGTCAACATTTTTAAAGATTAAAACTTAAAATAAATATTTTTTTCCTCTTGTCAATACCATGAAAAAAGTTAAAATGGAACCATTAGTTAAAAAGTAATGATTTCATCCTGATCTAGCAAGAACATCGTCAATGAAGTCCCAGCCAGTAGATAAAAGTGAAAAGTGTAAAATTTAAAGTAGAACAAAAATAATATATGTAAAAAGTATACTTATTTTGAAGTTAGTTAAGCTGAGTAACGGGTATCTGATGTCGACGCACTCGACAATAGCGTTCTTCCTTTTTATACCCGTTACTCGTAGAGTAAAAGGGTATACTAGATTCGTCGGAAGGAAGCGTTTCCGACCCCATAAA